GATATGCAATAATATTCAGAAGCACTGTAAAATGTTAGAGGCTGTGCAAATGTAAGAGATAACTATTCACACTTATTAGCATTATTAAATCTCTCAAGCGAATATTTCCTCTTTCTTGAACCATTTTTCTCCTTCCTGGGAGAATACTTGTGGGGTGATGATGTAATATCAGAAAGAAAATGCCTTTGCATGTGTGCGTGTGTATGTGTTTGTGTATGCTCGTGTGTACTCACATGTGTGGAGAGAGAGAGAGACAGAGACTCTTTGGAGATGAGAGAGCAGAGGTGGGCAATTAAGAAGAGAGAAGGAGGGAAGTTCATGTGGATCTTTCAGGTTTAGTCCAAACTCTCAGTTCCTTTCCCAATACTCACATAAAGCCCTGGCCATAACTGCCTTTAAAACATTTTATTAGGAAGAACTGAGCAAACATACACAAAAACAACGAAACCTTCCTCTTAATGTAGGTTGAAAAGGTAGAATGTTTTAACTGCGGCCATTTAGTGACATAAGGGAGAAAAAGGCTGCTGGTGTGTTGGCCACTAATGCGTCAAATTCAAGAACCTTAAAGTATTCAGTCTCCTGTGGAGTTGACCTTCTATTTCCCGGGGCCTTTTAATCACTTGGATTTTAACTCTCATAAAAATGTCTGTACCAGCTTCCACTGCTGGAGAGTTAGAAGTTGGATCTGATCCATTCGGAATAAGAGCCTGGTCCAGGGGAAGATCGTTGGCTGCCATTTTGTAAACAGACTTGCTGAGAATCTCTAATATGCTGTGTTTGTAGGTCCAGACTATTTGGCTATGCTTAGAATTCAAAAATTCTTTTATGAATCTACGGTTATGAGTAAACCTGTCTCCTTAAGGGCAAAAGGACACATAAGCGGAGGCCCTGTTGCTGTTCTTCATACTCATGCCAACAAAATAATCTTCTTAAGCAAAGTATGAACCTCCTCTTCTCATATATGTCCTCATATTGCTTCTATGACATCAATTTATTTCTGTATTTCCATAGCAACTGCAGCTATGATACTACCCCAAACTTAGAGAATTTCTAAAGTGTATCAGATAATGCTGAGGGAAAAAGCAATGATAATAATGTTATTAATCAGATCAAGCCTTATATGAATAAACAATTTTATGATGTACGAAATGTCACACTTGTTCATTCCTTCTCTTTGAAGACAGGAGAAAAGTATCACCCTTTAGTAAATGTGGCTACTAGTACTCAGAAATTAAACGACTTGACCAAGGTCATACCAGGAGAGCAAGGACTAGAAGGAATATATTCTATTTACAGCAATTTAAATCCCAAAGAAGTTTAGTGCCCTTAATTTTAAGCTGTTCATTTATACAAATCCATAAGAACAGTGAAAACTAAGTTAAGAGATCTATCACTAAGTAGAAAGGCATTTCATTGATTTTGCTAATAATTACATAAATTCAAATTAAAACAACTATTGCATAGTGCACTTATTAAATCGATTCAAACTAAATATAAATAAACTTCTTCAATAGTGGATGTTATAATTTAACATACAATCTCATTATCACAGGTGGTTCCGTAAATCTTTCTAAAGAAATCTAGCAAATGTTCTCCAAATTGCTGTAAAGTAAACTCAGTAATGTAAATCAAAGAATTTATGCTAAGAAAGTAATTAAAAATAAAATATAAAATTTTTACTTAGTTATTTATAGGCATGCTTTTACAATACTAAAAGATTGAAAAATACTCGATACCTTTCTTTTGACATATGGTTTTAAAATTTAGCATGTAAACATAATATAAAACTGTACAGATAACAATCTAAAAATAATGATTATCAACAATGGGAAGTTATATACATATTTTTATAAAATAAATTTATAGGAGAAATGAAATGTATAAAATGATTAAAGAGAATTATAATGCTTTACAGAATTTAATTTGTTTAAATTTGCTATGTATACACAAAGATTAATGATTAAGATAATATAGTAAAATATGAATAATCGTTGAAGCAACGATGAAGACATTATTGACATATTTTCCCTCAAAATTATATAATTTAAATATGATTTAAAATTGATCAATTTAGGCAAGAATAAATTAAATTTGTATTAGACTGGTCTCTTTCCCAGACTCATAGCTTCAAACATGGGAGGTCTTTACACAGAAATAATTAACTAAACCACTATCTTCAGTATTCTGATTCCATCAATTAAAAACAAACAACAAACAAACAAAACATAAACTGACTGAGGCCCAGGGCCTAGCTTTTCTCTGTACAGGATGTCTTTCAGACATCAGTTTCCACCAATGGAACAACGGGCAATTTGATTGAATGGCATCGTAGGTGCTTGTTCTAAGGGCTTTGGTTCCCAGCTCTAGGGTCCGTCCACATTTTATTCTCCCAGCTTTCCCAGTCCCCCCAGAAGAAAACTCTTTACATTTCTAGTGAGGCAACTTATTAGACTTATGAAAGTTCAGAAGAAATTAAAATGCTAAAACATCCATCTAAGAGCTAGAGGACTGTGCCGAATTCTGAAATCAGTATTGAACAAGGGTCTTTGAGTAAAGCTTAACTGAATTCTGATAAGAATTAAATTACATTTTAGAATCACCATAGATGGATCTCATTAAAGAGAAATCATGATTAAAGGTTCTTATGGGGGAGAGAAGTCCAAAAGGATGGTAAGAATTTCCATTATTTGAATTCACCCAGGTCTCCTAAGAATGTGACTGAATATCTCTCAGACAGTGTTTCTTATCATAAGCATAGTATAGTTCAGGCAACCATAGCAGAAGAAGCTGCAGTCTAAAGAATCACTGAGCTCCTATGCCTGGAATAAACCCACACATTGTAGAAACCCATAATTTAGCCAGATTAGACTTTCTCTGGTTTTATCACACACTCAGGAGAGCAAGTGGAACATTTAAAAATGGAAGAGTGGTATGTCTCATAGATATAAACAATTTCCTAAAGCCCAATGAATCTTACAGCACGTGTAAGGTCCTTGTATTCAAAAATGCTAAATAGGCCAGAAATCTTATCAAAATTTATCTTAGAAGAGCATTCATTCCTGGAGCAAGCCAAGTGTGCTTTACAAGAACTGCCTCATTTTACCTTCACAAACCTTTGGGGAAAATCCTGAAATAATCCCCATTACATAGATGAGAAAACTGAGGCTTAAAAATATCAAGCAACTCTCTTAAGGAAACAAAGCATTAAGTGATAGAACCAAATTCAAACTCATGATTTTCATACCATGTTATATTGTTTCTCAGTATTTTTATATGATTCCTAGCTCATAAGGGATAAAAGAAAAAATGAAGAAGACTGCCACAGAATCATCATAAAACACAGCTGTCTGTGGCCACATAATATAAGGAGAAACAGCAACAGGTGCTTCTTTCTATAGGTTCTGCTAACATCTCTGTCACAGAGCTCACTGCAATAAATAATTTCATAGTGGTGGTCCTATGTGAATGCCATTATGAATGACACCCTGCACAATCTTTTACAAAGCCAGGATATTTTGTAGTGTTCTCTTTCCAACAAAAATTTCAAAAAGTGATATATGAAATGTTCTTATTTACTACAGAGGTAAGCTTTTGTTTACTAAACTTTCCCTGATGTATAATTACTCCTTCCAGATCAACAGGACATTACCGTGTTTGCGGTTAGGTCTGGACAAACTAAAACCGTGTGATGTCTGCAGAGAACATGGGACCAGGAGTGCCAACAACTGAATATAGTGCTGTCTCTGACAGTAATGACAGAAGATGAAAATCAGTTTCTCTTTCTCTCTGCGTCTCTGTATTCTCACTTCTAAAGAGAGGAGTTAGACAAATGATCTTAAGAGGTTTTTTTTCAGCTCTAACATTGTACGGCACTGTAATGATGCTATATGTGTTTAAGTTGCCTGTGGGGAGGAAAATGAAGTAAAATTGAACCTAAGAAATGCAAAACAGAATTAAATCCTGCAAGATCTTAATCTTGAAGAACTTTCAGATCTGTGCTACAGACTCCAGGGTTGCAATGAGTTAGAGCTGTCGGGTTATAGGAAAATGTCAACAGGGAGAGAAACTTCTGCAATAACATTGAAACTTGGGGATCTGCTATGTGTAACTCCCAATATCTTGTACCCAAAGCTTCTTTTATGTTGAAATGCCTGGCACTGAGGGCCACACCATGGCTCTTCTGTGGGGTTGCAAAAAAAGTACTACTGTTTCCACTAGCAAGTGTTAAACAGATATATTAAAATCATGTGGAAGGACAGCGAAGAAATTTACTTCTGATGTAAAAAAAATTATGTTCATTCATTACATTGCTCTATCATAAGAGAGCTTAATGTGTAGATTTAAGTAGCTTGTCAAAAAGCTAAGATAATGTGACTATTAGGGTTTTTTTTTTTTTTTAGTAATCCAGTGATATTATTAAAATATAGTTGTTGTGTTCTTTAAAAAAAAATTATTAGCTCAGTCAGCATTACTATTCATTTCTCCTTAAGGTGCTCTATAATAAAGGGTTTCTCTGTTTGTATCATTGAAAACTTGCTGGGTATGATAAGTAGGAAACATTCTGGGTAGAAAAGAAGTATCCTTCCAAAAGGCCCGAGAGTTTGAAAGAGGATTGACAAGTCCGGAGACCCTGCAACATTTCTCTACAAACAACTTCAAATGCAGGGTGAGACCTAATAAGAGGTGTGACTCTGCAACATGGGAGGCCTTCTGATGCTTCAGGGGGCAACGTGCTAGCTCCTACACACATGCTTGAAAGCCACAGGGTGATTGATGATCTTACCAGCAGACCACTAATTGAATGGCAGCCCCATTCCAACATAGCTTTCTGACTTCTTGTGAACACATGGAAAAAATAATGTATGCCAATTTATACATACACATTTTGAAGCCTGAGGTGAAGGAAAGATCTATCTGATGGCCACATTCTATCTAAAATTATTTGTACTTTGCCAAATCAGATATCTTTGTAAAGTGGTGAGGATCAAATCTGAACTTACAATGTAGCAGGGCTCACAGTAGGCTTTCTTCTCCACAGCATAGAAGGGCTGCCCTCGGAGCTTGTTGTTGCAGATGATGCAGGTGAAACAATCCACATGGAAGACCTGATCCATGGCAGTGCATCCTGTCCCTTCCCCAACTACATTTTCCCCACAGCGAGCACAGCGGCCTGAAAGAAAAAAGGGATTGACTGTTAAGAGCACAGCAAGGAACACCTTCAGTCCTACTATAGAAGCCAACGTGGGGAATGAGGCAGATTTGTAACGTTAGTATCTGCGATAGAACCGCCACTATCGCCGCCATCATCATAAGCAAGATCACCAGGAGAGCCACCACTATCCCTGTAGGGCCAGCATGATGGGGATTTTATATGAGTCAGTTGAGGAGTTGACCATCGCAGCCCAAGATCCCACAGGAAGTGACAGACTAGAACTCAAGTGTCCTGACGCTAAGGCCGGTGCTCTGCCTCTACGTTCACATGAAAGTCTAAGAGGGAGATGGCTCAGGATGGTAGGAGTGGAAGGCGTAGTCCAGGAAAGCCGTTCTCCTTGCAGAGTCCATGTGGGCAATCACACGGTGAGGAAACTGGGACCAAACTCAAACTTCGACCCTTTTCACAAAAGCTTGGGCAGATCAAAAGGTAGTCCCTTTTTATTTCCAGAGAGCTCTGACTGCTAGAAAGTTCCTTCCCATACTGACCAGGAATGTTTCCTTACTCTAACTGCTACCCAATAGTTCCAGTTCTGTGTTGTAGGGATTCATGAGACCAGTCTCATCTCTTACACGTGACATTCTTTAAAATGTTACAATTCAGTTAGTGTTGCCTCCAGGTCTGTTCTTAGTTTGAATATTGCTAAATCCTGCAACAGTTCCATGTACTGTCAGGTTTTGAGTCCCTCTGGCCCTCTGCTCTGCAAACTTTCAGTATGCTTAAAATAATTCACGGGGCATCTGGACCACATATAGATATAAGGTGTAGCTTTAAAAATTTCATTGTTTTAAATAATAACAATAAAACATAATTTGAGGAAAAATATTTATGTCAGTGAGAGGCATTGTGCTTATTGCAATGTGTATCTATATCTGGCTCCGTCATGGGAATCTTGAGCAAGAGATCATATCCACGTTCAGTTTCCCTTCTTATTCTTTATTTCTACTAAGATAAAAAAAGTCTTAACAAGTAATTACAGGTCATTGGGAATGTGAGCAAGAATCTAGGCTTTTACAAATACGCTATAGCAAACCTAGTGCTTCATATGTGTCAGTCATTTTCTAGGCACTTTATATATATTAATTCATTTCATATTTACAACAACCTATGTGATAGGCTGTTAGTATCCTTATTTTACAGATAGGGAAACTGAGTGACAAAAATGTTTAACTAACTTCGGATTCAAGCAGTCTAGTTTCAGCATCTATGGTCTTAACCTTGCTTCTGCCTAGTTCTGTGCATCAGGATTGAATGCAGATCTGACATTATGGAGAGATTTCTCACTGAAGACTGCTTTCAGCACTCCATCACACTGGATTGACAACCATTTCACACCTAAAAATAAGAGGGCTAAATGTTTCAACTTGAGAGAAAAGAGGCAAATAAATTTCTAATCCTCTTTGGTTGCGTTTGGCCCTGGAAAGGATTTCTTTATATTCCGTTTCAGGATTTGAATGTCTTTACAGTATAGTCCATCAGTTTTTGCCCCTAAGGAATAAGAAATATCAAGTGCTGGAAAAAGAGTTAAACTCTTGAAAATTGATAATTGATATATAATAATTGATATATTATAAAGTCTTGAAATCATATTCTTGACATTTAATAAAAATTTTTGTATAATATTTATAATAAACTTTGTGGCTTGATTTGCAGACTTCTATCCAAGAGTTAACTTGTAACCTGTTTTCACTATAAGATATAAAATCTTAGAAAGGTGCCTTTAACATTTTGGATGTTCACTGCCTTTAGTAACAACATTAGGTTATTTTATATGGCACTATTTTTGTGATTATTTTAAAAAAAAGAATTAATGGGTTTACTAGAAAGTTCACTGTGCTATGTTTGAAAGCGGTGCTAAAATTCTGAGAGCTTCATGCCACTAACTACATTTCATTACAGAAAACATATCGGGGATTATAGGCAAAGGGGTCCTCAATTCATAAAGTCTAGTCTTTAGAGTCATCATCATACTTAGTATTCAAACTTTTCTTTTTTAATTGCCCGGGCAAAATCATCACATTTATCCCAACATATACAGATTCCCTTCCAATGTTTATATTAAAATCCTGTTCACTAAAATTTACATTTGTAATATTATTAATCTGAAATAATATTTATGGTATTATCCTTATTACTATTTTTTTCCACCTTCAATGAATCATACTTAAATCACTGATCTATTTTGGTTGAATTGAAGAAATAATGCGATGTGATAGTAATAATGAAAATGTAGGTTTGGCAGCAAGCAGAAAAAACGTTAACGCGACATGAAAATACTCTGAGTGGAATGGCACCATTATTGAACACTAATTAAACAACACCATTCAACGAAGGTTTTGTGGTACATGTGCAATCTTTAAGAATGTGATAATTATTACGAGTAAACTAGATTCCTGTGAAAATTATAATTTTAAATTTTAACAAATTTTTAACACATTTAATAAAATTG